GGGGATCTCGTAGTCGAGCAGTCTCGACTAGAGCTTTCTTACTTGTTTTTACTTTCTTTTATAGCGTCACTACGGCGTTGTGGCGTCTGCGAAGCCGTTTCAAGAGATGCCGACTACCAGCGTGCTGAAAACATTGTGGAACTTTATGCCTGGCGGCAAATACAGTGGATCCGATCTCAATGATATAACTAGGGACTTACTAAAGGACAGTGGCGGTAATATTATAAAGATCAAAAGCTTTTTGGGTAAACCGCCGATAGTTGTAACAGAAAATCCAAATGACTTCGAAACTGTTTTCCGACACGATGGTGTTTGGCCCAATCGTAAGGGTTTCGAGCTCTTAAACTATTATCGCAACGTTCATCGTCGTGACTATTTTGGCCCAGAGTCGGGTCTACTTACGACCCAAGACGAGTCGTGGGGCAATTTGCGTTCAGCTGTAAATCCCATTATAATACATCCCAAGAATGTCAAAAAGTATTTGAGCTCATTGGATCGTATTAATCAGGAGTTTATAGAACGGTAAGATTCTTAATTCCATTAATAACATATTGTACATATAGCGAACTATCAACTTATCACTACATAAATTCTTTTCTTGGTTGTAGCATCAAAACCATCCGTGATACTGAAACTTTGGAAGTCCCCGCGAACTTCAAGGATGAAATAAGCGCCTGGACTCTAGAGTCTGTGGGTCAAATAGCCCTGGATTGCAAGTTGGGGGTTATCGACAATACCAATCCGGAAGGCAGACACTTCTTTGAGCAATTGCAGCGTTTCTTCGAACTCTCCGTTGATCTGGAAGTAAAGCCCTCACTCTGGCGCCAGCTCAAGTTCAGTTCGCCCAAATTGCGTGAAGCCCTCAGCGTATTGGATGAGTCGCTCGCCCTAACTGATAAGCTAGTGCAGGACGCCATGGAACGCATCGAGAAGTCCACAACGGCCAAGAGCCAAGAAGAGAAAAGTGTTTTGGAAAAGCTGCTAGCCATAAATCGAAAATATGCCGTTATTATTGCGCTGGACATGCTCTTCGCTGGCGTGGATACGGTACGTATGTAAATGCCTCTATCATTCAGTCCAGTCAGTAAGGTTTGGCCTTTAATTGCAGACAACCAGCAGTTTTTCGGCCATTCTGCTAGCCCTCGCCCAGCATCCCGACAAGCAGGCCAAACTGCGAGCTGAAATTCTTGGCATCTTGCCAGAGAAAAGCACGCCCCTCACAGTCGACTCGATGAGGAACTTGCCCTATCTGCGTGCCTGCATCAAGGAGGCCCTACGCTTCTATCCACTCATCGCGGGCAACGTACGCAAAATCAACCAGGACCTGGTGCTCAGCGGTTACCATGTGCCGGCGGGCTGCGAGGTAGCCATGATCCATTTGAACCTTTGGCGCGACGGCAAATATTTCTCGCAGCCCGGCGAGTTCGTCCCCGAGCGCTGGCTGCGTGAGAAGCAACAGGGCTCCAGCTCTGACTCCGAGTGTCCGATGGCCACCAAGCCGAGTCATCCCTTTGCCTATTTGCCTTTTGGCTTTGGCGTGCGCAGCTGCATCGGTCGTCGCATAGCCGAAATGGAGCTGGAAATTGGGGTCGCTCGTTTGCTTAGGAACTTCCAAGTGGAGTTCCACCATCCGGCGGAAAGGCCCTTCATTGCCTATCAACTGGCTACGCCACGCATTCCATTGCAGTTCAAGTTTATCGACTTGAAGGATTGAATCTGCCCCAGGTCTCTCTATATACCCAATCCTTAAGAATGTTCAATAGATCTGTATTTTTGTATATGTGCTGTCCCAGTATTCGCAAATGAAAACTGTTTCATGTTAATTAATTTAAACGCTGTCTTATTCCTATGTGCTTAGGATGTATTCTTTAGTGACTGTAACTTTCAAAGAAACATGACAGCCACAGAGAATGTTCTTTGGCTCTTTTGGCCCTTTTCCAAACCAAAGTTGTATCAAAACATTCACAATGCACTTTTCACTCGCTGTGCAAAATATGAATTATTTTTGTTCACTCTTGAGCTTCTAATTAATAAAGGAAAATCTGCCAGCACTCGGCGCCCCTTGATCAGCTCAATTCGTGCGTTTGGCCTTTGTCTGAGCTTTGCCTGTGGCCAGCTTAATTATAACTTTATGAGCTGCAAAGTTGGTTGCATGCCCCAAAGGTGTTGCGAAATGCGCTAAAAAATATGCAACACTTTCTTTCTATGCCATGCATATTCATTCCAGTGTGTGTGTGTGTGTGTTATTATTTATACATACATATATATAATGTGTGTATGTGTGTGTTGCTAACTCTTTGTTGCGGTTAGATGGCCACAACGGGCGGCAGCATCTGCTGCCTGACACTGCCTGCTGCCTGCATATATATTTATATATGTAGCATATGGAGCAAATGCAGGGGGGCGTGGCAGGAGTGTGCGTGTGTGTGAGTGTTGTGGCAGCGTTCAAACGACAACATAAATCCAGCGCTGCTGTTGTCTTCCTGGTTATTGTTTATTGTACACATACCGAAGCACACCCACACACACACATACACACTCACACACACCCACGTACACAGTGTCTGGTTAACAAACACTGTGGACAGCATACGAGGGCGCAAATAGCGCATACGACATGTGGCCCGCACTATATAAATATAAATATGAATATTTTAAGCGAGACTTGCAGCATCAGCAACACCAGCTGCAGCAGCAGGAGTCGCAGCAGGCGGAGCCGCATCTGCGTTTGCCTCAGCATATGCCTTAGCAATTAGTTCAGCTCTGCTGTCAGCTTTAAATTCAATCACATTACAATCGAAAATCACTTCAGCTTGATGGATTTGCCTGCGATTTCATGCTGATAAATCATTGCAATTGGTTAAATAATTAAGAAACCACAAGGGTGAAATGTTCGGCTAGGCAATGCCGTGTAAAACAATATAAATATTAAATGCGCTTTGCAGGACGTTCAATGCCAGATTATAATAATGCGAAATTGAATTACCTCTCCATCGATTAGTTGCTGTAAATGGTAAGCCAGGCAATGGCTGAGCAACCTCGTGAGGCTCTTCTTGGCCCATATTCATTTTAATGCAGGGTATTAGGCGCACACATAAAATCAAATCTACTCTGTATGTATGTCATGTTGGCTAAAAATGAAAACGTCACGTTTGGCACATTTAAAGTCGGTAAACGGCAGTCAAAAATTCAATTTGGCGCAAAATAAACTCAAACAGCAGAAAGTGAAAGCATGTTCTTGCGCTTACCCTCCCGCCCACTCCACTCGCACTCCCACTCCCTCCTCCTCTCCCTCCCTGGTCACTCTTTCTTTCTCCTGCTCTGTGGCTGTTTGCACACATGGCGTATGCGTAATTTCAATTTAATTGATTCCTAGAGCAATCGCTTTTTGCGCTGCTGCTTAACAAACTTTTTGCCAAAGCTTTTAATGCACCAAGGACGCGTATATTTATTTGGAGTATGGCTACATCTGTGGGTATAATTATTTATTCAAGAGATTGGTAACAGCTGAAAGAAGAGTGTAGCAAACACTCTAATTCGATTTAAAAAAAAAACGGTTTCATGTGCGCAGAGCTTAGCTTTTCATTGATAATAAATGTATAACAAAAAGTATATTCAATTTCAAAATAATTTTTTCTTAGTCTTTCACAAGGATATGTTTAGATTTTGTCATTAGATTAGTGATACACTTGGATCCCTGTATTCTCTTTGTCTCTGACTCATCTAGCATGAGTCAAGCCAACTATAGTTTGAGCTTGAGTTCGTAAGACATTTTCTTTGCAAGAGCATCTTAATATCGACCAGTCAAAAATAGTTGATGCTGTTTATATTTTTTTTTTTACCACGCTTTTGCTCTCAGCTTAACTTTGACTACGATTTGCCAAAGTGGTTTTGAAAAATCCACGTTTACGTTTACCATTTTTTTTCGTACTTTATTTTTTGCTTTTCCTCATTTGCCTTTTTGCAAATAAATGAGCAGCGTTCAGAGCTGTGCTGATTAATGCAGCTTGAGTGCCAGTTCGACTATGTGAGTTTGTGTGTGTATGTGTGTGTGTGTGTGTGTGTGTAAGCGCTGAGTTTCAAGTACAGCACAATTAATCAAACCGCAATTGAGTTTTGCCCTCACGGCGGAAGCTTTGAAATTAATTTGCAGCTGCTTTTCAATGTAAATTAAAAGTTGAAAGCCAGAGAAGGACAGAGGGAGAGAGAAAGAGAGAGAGAGAGAGAGAGGTTAAGTGCAGTTGAATGAATTTTTGCGCTGACAACTTAATCTAAATCTTGATTTTTTGGCATTTAACAAACTTAAAACAGATTGCCAACTCCGTTCCTTTGGCTAAATTTAATAAACTAAAACCATTTGCAGTTCACTGAACTGACAGTAAATAAATTTAACCTAATTCGTACATGTCAATAACAACAGGAACCAAGACAAGACAAGCAGCCGTTGCTGCCGCCCGTTGCCACGGCCGCCCATTCTGCCCCCTTTCAACTACTTCTTTTTTGCTCTGATCCTAGCAAGAAAAGCTGACTGAATAGCACCAGCACAGACAGACATACACATACACACAAACACATATACATACATATATATATATATATATATATATATATATATATATTACTCGAGGTCTCTTTATATATATATATATATATATATATATATATATATATATATATATATATATATACATATATATATATATATATATATATATATATATATATATATATATATATATATATAGATATGTTGCTGAACAAACAAGCCGAGCATTTGCTACACTGGGTACAATGGGCCTTAATTCTGTTTTAAAATTGCCAGGCAGCCCAATTTACCCTATCTAGTGGAAGTTCTATTCTAGAGAATCGTTACTTATATTATATTAGCTTGAAATGGATATTCAAGTTTATCAACACCTTTTTTATATATTTGTCACATATGCAAACTAGAATAAAACAAACTCCATTTCAAATTATTTCCTTAACTTATATAAAAAAAAAAAAAAAAAAAAGCATTTGAATAGCAATAGTTTAGAGAAATATATTCACAACATTATATCTTCTCTATAAATGACTTCAAATACTAAGTCCAAATTGTCAGACGAATGGTTAACCATTTTTCTCTTAATCAAAAATCCACCTTAATATAGTTTGTAAATTAGTCACATTTATCATATAATGTGCTGGGTTATTATATGATAAATGTGACTGTAATAAATGTGTAAATAATAATGTGTATTGCTTAAAAATGTTTTAAATATAAATATATATAATAGACCGAAACAAAATGTATAATATATTAATATTCAATTTTTACTTTCTACTTTATTTCCAATCGAAAATTTCCACGGTGCTTCTCCATTGTCTGTTATGAACTGCAAAGTGTAAAGCAAAAGCCAAAGATGACGCCCATTTCTTAGTGTTCGTATTTGTGTGTGTGTGTGTGTGTGTGTGTGTGTGTGTGTGTGTGCGTGTGTATGTGTGTGTGCGTTTAGCTGTGTGTGTGAGTTCCCTTCGCTCGTTGACTATGTCCGTATTTGGCATTTTGCGTTTTGTGCTGTGGCACCACATGCTTCTGATGGGCTGCAGTTAATCCACTTAATGACCTCGATGATTTTATTGATGAGCACCTCACGCCAACACCACGGCCACGCCAACGCCAACGCCAACTCCGAGTCCAATGCCAACATATGCCGCCTGATGATGAAGATGCTGGGCGCCCATATCGTTCCGGTTTACTTTCCACTCCATTCCATTCAATGCCATCTTTTTTTCGTGAATACTCTAGCTAAACCGGCCATGCTCGGTTAAGCGATACGTAAGACAAAGTTGAAGTTGAATCGTTCATGTCTTGATTAACAAATTTGAAGTTTGGCGGAAAACCAAAAATTCAATTAGATCGGAGCAGAGTAAGTCAATCAAGTTTTGTTTGTTAGATGACATGACATGAAAAATAATAATTATTATAATTCAAATTTGAAATTAAAGTCTGCACATCGACTGTTTACGATGGATAAGATTGACGCTCAGTCGACAATTTCAAATGATTTACTATTTACTTTGCCAGTAAGGACCCATTTCAATTATTTATCGTATACACATCGATAACTATCGATATACTACTGAATTTCGACAACTGATCGATAGTAAAAGTAATGTAAAGGGTATTTGGAATACTTCATGTCGCACTCGACGAGTGGTTGATTTTTTCTCGTCTAATGTTGTCAACGCCGCCTGTGCAGCGAGGCGTGGCACTGCCACTAAACGGTGTTGCCATCACCATCAGCAGCATCAACATCAACATCAACATCAACATCATCATCATCATCATCATCATCAGCGTCGTTTTCTGTGTTTGTTTCCTGTTGATTTTTCGGCACTGCCACGGAAACCCACTAAATTAGTGACAGCGACTTTGGCTTCCAGCTTGGATTCAGCATTTGATAAAATGGCAGAGCGTGGCTCCCAAAGTGTGAATGCCAATGGGTGTGTGTGTTGTGTGTGTGTCCTGTTTGTGTTATTTATGCGCGCGCATTAAAATACAATTTTTATGCTTGGCATTGCCAGACTTATCCTTTGACTCCCGCATCGCCCATCTGTCCCCACTGAAGGCAGCATCTTTATTGAGTGTAAATGCGCGTGGCGAAAGCATATTTATTTTCGTTGAGCTGCTTATTTATTTGGCAAATGGTTTTGCATTTGTCAACAACAACAACAACAACAACAATGACAACCAGTCCAGCCAGAACCCTCACCCCTCCGTCGACATCGAC